TCTTGTGCCATGGGTGCAAATCCTTTTTAGGATGAATATATATTCTTTAAATCGGAATATAGAATGTGGTAGCTACGGGTATTTGAAGAGATTATGGGCGTAAAAGTCAAAACTTTCACAGTTAATTCAAAAACAAAGAAAAACTCTATAGTTGATATTTGAAAAGTTAGTAAACTTCTTTTATTCTAAATTGGGTTGGTTTAAAATATATTACAGATTGATAAAATAATAAAATACTAATTTTTTTGTAAATTTTATGTGAAGAAACCTAATCTGTGGACTGTAGCAAAACATAGAGATACAAACTCGAATGCATAAAACAATACAGCCATTGTTTGTTATGTGGTGGTACGATTTAAATACATAAAACCTTTTAATTTGCTTTTTTAGTAATTCATTCCCTTTATCGTTGTCTTCTCCTTTACAAAATTTTCTCAAAGCTGTATATTATATTAGTAATGTTTTTGTAAAATTTAGTTATATAAGTTCACGTAGCAACGTTTTGCATGGGGATTGGAGACGAATAACAAGGGTTGCTAATGAGCCTTGTACTGACTCGCTGTAAAGCTTAAAGTTGCTTAAATTTTCGTTTGAAAATTTAGGCTGGAGACTAGCAAGGAGGGCTTTGTGACTAGCTAGCATCAATAATATGCTAATAAATTTGGGTCTTAGAGCATAGGAAACATAAGATCTCTTGGACCGCGAGAGATTTATATACTATATAATTCCAAATTACACTTACCGTGGTAATTTTTGTTTTGTTTCGTTTTAAAGATTAGTTGCATTAGCTAGAAAATTGAAAACTTTACAAAATGCAGTTTAAGAGTTTGTTTTTCTGAGATGGTCATGAATATGGAATTTATGAGCCACATGACAATTGACAAGTAGTTGAATGAACTTTACCGTGGTCATTTTGCTCTCTCTCTTTTCCATTAATATCTCGTTGGCGTACATCTCACATGTTGTTCCATTTCCAGTTAAAGCACAACGTAGAAAAACATTTACCAAATAATATTATGTATAAAAAAAACTCAGAACTGTTATAGGGTTCGAATAAGAAATTATGTTTATTGTGTCCAACCGACCCGATTGATTTAAAAGGAATATACAGATTAAAAAAAACTAAAACTTTCTTGATACACAAAAAAATTTACAAATTAATTAATACCTTTACTAATGTATTCACTATGTCACTAAAAATCAATTCTCAAAATGTATTCACTTGACTATTCAGAAATTGTATTGGTATAGGACATATATCAATCCAAACATTGATCTAAATCATCGATAAAACATAATAACTTTTTTGTTTTAAACTATAAAAAAAACAACGAATAGAGAAAAAGACAAGTCGTGAAAACAATAGAATATTTGCCAAGTTAAAAACCAAGTCTGCTTAAAACCTCAAGCCCAAAACAACAGAGATAGACTCCAAGAAACAATCAAATATCAACACGTGTCACCTCCACAGGCTTCAAACTCCATTGTCACTGTGTGTTCTGGTTCCTATAAAACAGACTCAAAACTCTTCTCCTCTCTTAGCATTCTCTCTCTCCATCTCTTTTTTCTCATTCTTCATCTCCATTAAACAATGCGCATTCTCAGTGGCATTCTCGTGATTTACATAATCTCCACTGTCCTCTTTGGTCATTTAAATTACGTGGCTCAAGGAAGAGCTCATTACCACAAGAGACGTAATCTCAAGAATCCTCCTCCTCCTCCTTCTCCTCTGGTTGCAACCGCTAATCCACCTCAAGTTCCCTCTGACCCGTACCCGAACCCAAACCCGAATCCAGACCCGGCTCCTGGAAACTCCGACTCATGTATCTTCGACGTGACGTCGTTTGGAGCAGTAGGTGATGGCTCGTGCGACGATACGGAAGCGTTTCGAGCTGCCTGGAAAGCCGCTTGTGCTGTTGAATCCGGTGTCGTTTTGGCACCGGAAGGCGGCGTTTTTAAAATTAATTCCACTATTTTCTCCGGTCCATGTAAACCGGGACTCGTATTGCAGGTGAGCAAACAAAAATCGATTTTTCTCTTAACAGAAAAAAAAAATCATTTTCCTTTTAACAAACAAAAAAATGTTTGACCCATTTTACTATTGGACCCCATACCTCCCTTCCTCAGCCGCCTCTGAACAGTCATCAACAATAAACACAAAAATTCATCAATTAATTTTTTAAAAATCACAATAATTATACCCATTTTTAAGTTAATTAAATTTGATAGTATGTAACTATTGTTTTTGTTTGGGTTGTGAAGTTGGACGGAGTGTTGATGCCTCCGGATGGACCAGAGGAATGGTCAGAGAAAGACAGTAATAGTCAGTGGTTAGTTTTTTACCGCCTCGACTGTTTCACGTTTTCCGGCAAAGGCACCGTCGAAGGTAACGGTCAAAAATGGTGGGACCTACCTTGCAAGCCTCATCGGGTAAATTTCTTTTTTCTTGTTAATTACTATTGTTTTCTCAGTTTGCTAATTATTAATTCATAATTTGTGACCGTGACAAAATAGAACAACACGACAAGAAACCGTACTATTTATTCCTCTGAATTTTTTACTTATTATATTTACTATATTTTTTCAGGGACCAGACGGAACAACATCGTCCGGGCCATGTATTAGTCCAACTGTAAGTGGAGTTGAATCCGAACCAAATCGTTAAAAACAAGACCGGTTTAATAAAATTTGGTTTAGTGTAATGACGCTTTTTGTGTTTAAATTTATAGATGATTCGGTTTTTCATGAGCAAAAACGTAGAAGTGAAAGGATTAAGAATCCAAAACAGCCCACAGTTTCACATGAAGTTCGACGGATGTGAAGGAGTTCTAATCAACGATATTCAAATTTCATCTCCAAAACTAAGTCCCAACACCGATGGCATCCATTTCGGAAACACCAGATCTGTTGGCATTTACAACTCTCTCGTTAGCAACGGTACCGTTTCGTTTATTCACATTTTACTTAAATCAGACTAGTATCAGAGTATAATTGAGCGTGACAGCAGATTCTATAATAATAAATAGTAGTAATAAACAATAAATAATGTCTAAATGTAATCGGGAATGAAAACTGAAACAGGGGACGACTGCATTTCTATTGGAACTGGTTGCTCAGATATTGACATTCAAGGTGTCACTTGTGGGCCCAGTCACGGGATCAGGTTTGTCTCTTTTTTTCTCTCCTATTTTTAATTTATTTTACAAAACGTTAATTTTATTTTAATTGATTCCATAACGAAGTCTATTTTTTTTATATGGATCACGGATATTAGCTGAATAATCCGCTGAAAAAATGAACTTTGGAGTGGTTGACAAAAATAAAAAATTGAACTTGGAGCTAGATTTTAATTGAGTTATTCAAAATTTACAATAAATTTCATTTTAGAATTTCATGAAATATTTATTACCAATTCTTTCTAATTTCGCTGCTACGTCGAATAATTTAACGTTATGTAGTACGCAATTTTGATTACGAACTCAAAAATAATTGTTTAGATTTTAAAAAAGGTTTGTTTAGCTGATATTATTATTGGAAAACATAAAGCTTTTTCATTTTTCCAAACGTGATCTGAGATTAGCCGCTAAATTTTTATTTATTTTTAAACGCAGTATCGGGAGCTTAGGCGTGCACAATTCTCAAGCGTGCGTTTCCAACATAACCGTTCGAAACACCGTGATTCGCGATTCCGATAACGGTCTCCGCATCAAAACATGGCAAGGCGGCACCGGATCCGTCTCCAATCTCCTCTTCGAAAACATCCAGATGGAGAATGTCCTCAATTGCATCATCGTCGATCAATACTACTGCCTCTCCAAAGATTGCCGGAACGAGACGTCGGCGGTTAGAGTCTACGACGTCGAGTACCGTAACATCAAAGGCACTTACGACGTCAGGAGTCCTCCGATCCACTTCGCATGTAGCGACACTGTCGCTTGCACGAACATCACGATGTCGGAGGTCGAGCTTTTGCCGGAGGAAGGAGAGCTCGTCGACGATCCGTTTTGTTGGAACGCCTATGGGACTCAAGAGACGTTGACGATTCCTCCGATCGATTGTTTGCTGGAGGGATCACCGGTGGTGGAGGCGTCGTTCGATTCGAACTACGGTTGCTGATCCACCGGTAGAATCTGGATGGTTGTTAGTGCGCCACGTGGGTGGATGAGGTTGCCTTTTAGATGTATATGGGCCATCCCTTGTAGGGCCTTTTAGTGGGAGCCTTATTTGTGCGATGAGATTTTTACGAAAATAGATGATGCTGTTGTTTCTTCAATGGGCTTACTATTTTTCGGTCCATTATATATTTTCTGTCTATCATATTTTGGGCAATTGGGTTTGACTGTTATTTCTAATGAAACACTGTCGTTTCGCAGATTTTTCTTCAATCTTTGAAAACCAAATACACAACTGTGTTCTTGTGAATGCTTATTTTCCAAAAAAACACAAATATTTGCAAGTGAACCCACAAAAAGGTTAAATAGTAATAAGATAGCAGGTTATTTGACACATACACCTTTAAAAATACATCAGGAATATAATTTTGTTATCTTAAATATATCTATCTGATCCGTATTTATTTATTTTTTGGTCAAAGTTATCTGATCCGTGTTATTTATCCAATATCTTACCTGAACTGTTTTTATATAAGTTTACAAAACAAAAATATAGTAGAATACCATGTACATTTAGCTACACATACAATTTTCGTTGAAAAATATACAATTTCGTATAATTATAGTGCATTGAATTTATATAAGCCGGCCATAACAAAGTAAAGTTAACACAGACAAGCGAGATATAATGATTTCTCCAAAATTACATAATGAAGAAAACAAATTGATTTTTCCCAAATGAAGGAGTCAGAAAAATATTATTAAGGAACAAACAAAAAAAAGACACCTTTAACGATCAACAAAAATATAAAATAACACAAAAATAAGAAAAAGTCAAATTCCTCACTTCAACAAATTTTCTTCTCAAATTCAGCTGAATTCCACAATTCAGCTGTTAACATTAAGTGCCTTGGCTGGACTCTGGGCAAGGTTAGAACCAGAGGTTGGATCGGAGTCTATACCAGTTGGGTTAACGGTGAGAGAGCTTAACTTCTTGTGAATGGAAGTTGTATCTTCTTCCGGTACGGAGGTCTCCTCATTCCCATCTGACTTCAAACTAACCTCCTCGGTTTCCGCAGAGGTTACAGAAGGAATCTTAGAAGCTTCCATGGAGGTTTTCTTGCTCCTAACAGAGAAATCTGGTAAAGGGCTAAGGAAGGTTCTGTAGGGAAGTCTGTTTCTCTCATCCTGCATGACTCTCTGGCGGTTTTCGTAATACACAAAATCATCTAGCAACGAAGTCCTTTCCGCATGGTACTTGAATATCTTTAGCACCTCAAGACCTTGTTTCAGCATTACCTGGCACAAGGTAACGACAGATTTAGCAAATCCTGCATGAGTACGACGACAAGTCTCGAAATCTCGAGTGTCTAATACGAAAAACTCACCTCTTGTGTGTCTCGACTGTTGGTGACCGGCTTATTCTCATTGTTCTGTAATATGATGTGCCTGAAATAGCTATTGGGAACATCTTTAATGATGTGCCATTTGACAGGAAAGCTTCCACTCCATTTGTCTTGCTGCCAAAAATCCATGTCTTTGTCAAAAGAAACTGGACCGGTCATCTCAGCCATGCCACAAAACAAACCACTTGCATTGACCTAGACAGATAAGTAACAGCTAATCAGAAGAAGCCCACAGTGTTAAGCTAAGCATATGTAAGAGACGAGGGAAAAAAAACTCACAGAAAAGAACAAGAATATCGGGCATTCACAGGACTTCTCGGTGGCTATTCTCTGAGCATCTTCATATGCACTCTGCAGTTTCTTGTTCCCGTGCAAAGTTGATGACCAGACATTGTATTTGATGCTCTTGTGAACATCATCTTCGCTGTACGATTTAATCACGAAAAACTTGGCGTTGCTGTAATCGACTTGGAGATCTTCTTTATTATACTGATTAGGATCGATCACAATATTCCCTTCAGCGTCAGCGTTTCCAGCTTTTGTTGTATAAGCTTTAACAATCAGTTGGTTTCTCGATACTTTGAATCTTTGACCTCGATTCTGTGCACTGCCTGTATCTGGACTCATATTTGCATTCCCACCATACAGCTTGGGCCGAAGATTGTTGTTGTTGTTTGTTACCATGGATGAAGAACGATTACGTTCAGGTGGAGCAATGTCTACTCGTCCAGAAGACGATATTCTGCTACTGGAAACACCATCAATAGGCTGAGAGCTAACAGAAGCCTCTCTTCCCTGCAAAGATGATTACACAAGTCCAGAGTCAACAATCAGAGCGATATATCATCAACAAACCACTCCTAGAACTACACAAGCAAGAATATCAATGTTTGAAGATAGAATTAAAATCTTTAGGCTATATTCTTTTCAATTCATCAGCAGACTATATAGCAAAATAAAGTAAAAACCAGGAGATATGTATACGAAAAATATACCTCGTGAGTAGAAAATCCCGTAGAGACACTCCTTTCAGTTCCTAGTTGTCTGTTTTGTCCAGGGTTAGGCCTTGACTTCTCAGAGGATCTGCTCACAGAGTTTCCTACAGGGAGTTTTGAAGCGTTCCTTTGGACTCCATCAGCTGCTGAAGCATTTCTATGCCTCGATCCTCGCCCATCTGACCGACCCCTATCAGCTGAACCAGTCTCAACCAAAGAGTTTGTTGAGCTATTCGAGACGATATCAGGGTGAATCGCATACGGAACAAACGCAGGTGACGACGGGACGTTCTGGTAAGAAGGAACAGAGTAGAATTGCTGGGAACCAACAAAAGGAGAATCAACGCCTATCGAAGCGCCAGGTATGTAAGGATTATATGGATTGTAAGGAGACTGTGCATATCCATAACTAGGCGTATAGCATATATAGGGAGAATTTTCATTCTGCGCACCCTGGAGATAAACAAAGAAAAGATAGAATGTCAACATAATATGTATGAGATCAAAAATCAACAATCACTGAGAAGTCGAAGTCGTGGTACCGAGTATTGGACTTGAGAACCATCTACACCAAAAAACATCTGATGGTTCTGCCATTCACCGGGTGACTCATAACCTGAAAAATTCAGAAAGTTAGGGAACTCGAAGCCTTGTTGACCGAAGAAGAGAGGATATAATAGATAGCACCATGAATCCAGTTTATTTACCTGTACAATAATAGCCGTAACTGGCATCAACGGGGTAATACATGCCCTGGTCAACAACAAAATCAGGGGCTCCTTCGGAGGTATACATTGCTTTAACTTATCACAAGAAAATGGTGCTTCAATGGAGTTTGGATAAACACCTGGAATCAACAACAACAAGAACAACAAAAAAGCCATAACATGAGCAACATTGCTTTGAAGGAATAAGGCGAACAAATGGGTTCATCACCGTAAGACAACATAATTGCAAGGCTGGAAAATTGAATCATAAAAAATCAAAATTCTGAGATCCTTCTGCAATACTATTTGTACCCCCCGAATACAAATTCGAACTATTCAAAAACATATAAACTGAACCGACAAAAGAGCCCTAAATTCAACGAAAGCGGGATAAACCCGTAAAAATTCGATGAACGGAAACCTAATCCTAGAAAATCGCAGAGAAACTCTTTTACCCAAGATGCAAATCACGAAGAACAATGTTCCTTACGTTGGCATATCAAATCCTAAATGAGCGAAAACATGAAATCTACAGAAAGATGAAGCTAATTACTTGAAATAATTCCAACGAACAGATAGATACAGACAAAACAACGTAGAATACGAGTAGCAGAAATTAGTCAGGTTACCAGAAATTTGGGTGAATCACGACATACTTAGCTTATGAAGTTCTTCGAATTAAGAAGAAGAAACGGACGAGTTAGAGAGATAAAAGAGGGAGAGCGAATACGGATTATGAAGAGATAGGGCTTAGCAGCATGAGTTGAAAAAAAATAAAAATCTCTGCAGAATCGAAACCCTAACCCTAGAAATGAGAGGGGGTGAAGCGAAAGGAGAGGGAGAGGAGAGATTTGGCGAATTTCGATGAATTAAAAGAGAAAATGGAAAAAGAAAACCAGAAGACGCGCAAAGGCAGAGATTCCTTAAGCTTTGATGCAAATACGCTGCGTTTTCAACGGGGTGAATCTACTTATTGACTTGTCGTTTTTAAAAGTCGATAATACCCTTGGTCGCTGACCAAAACCAGGAAATGTTGTAAAACCATTCTCTATAATTTGCATAAGATTTATATACTTGCAAAATTATTATGGCAATACTTTTATAGATGAACAAAATTCATATGTAATTATGTAAACCACAACAACTTTAATTGAGAAAAAAAAGTAAATTCAAGAAAAAGATGACCAAATTTACACATACCACTAATCAAAACTCTCTGCATCTAAACTTAAATTAGCAAACCGGATCCGGTTCATATGGTTTTGAGGACCCATTTTCTATGTGACTCAGATCAACAGAACGACCATTATGAACACACAGGTCACGGCGAATATCAAGAGCCAATGGAAGCAACTCGTCTTTGAGGTTTCTGAATATATCTTTGTGCTCGCTAAGCTTTTCTCAATGCCCTCCTCGGTAGAGTCGAGTATCTTTTGTTAATGATTACAACACAACAAACAAAAAAAACAATACATGAACCAACTTAGATTCTTCTTCTCTGTTGATAGAACACAGAGAATAGAGAGAGTATCTGCGAAATTGTGCATTTTGGTTTGATTCTGGGTAGAACCATTTTTGTAGCTTTTACTTCTGTAACTGATAACCAAATTGTTGATTTATGCCTAATCAATCAAAGGAAGATTATGCCGTTGTTGTTGTTGACCAAAACGTCCAAAAACCACGAATAAGGTTTATATAGTTACCAATTTCGTATGGCATGAAATGAATAATTGTGCTCTGTTTTCAAACTAATTTTCTTCTATGATTAGACAAAAGAATAATCTCGCATTTATGTTTTTATGAATAATCCGGGTTCGGCTCAGATTCAGCAAGCAACGATGATCAAAAAACACATTTTATTTCTTACTCACTTCTAAAAAATAATACAAAAGTCCACACCTAACTAAAATCTGTAAGTACAGAGAAACTGTGATTGAGGAAACTAAATTCAAGAAAAAGATAAACTGGTTTACATCACCACCCTACCGACTAATCAAACTCTCTAACATCTAAACTTAAATTAGCAAACCGGATCCGGTTAAGATGGATTTGAGAGACCAGCTCTGTACATTGACTTTGAGGACACATCCAAAGAGATTTGGCGGCTCATCATCTGCAAGAGAAGCACAAGTGTGAGATAAAAAGAATTTGGATCTGCGTATCAATCATATGTAAGTCTTGCTCGTGTCCAGAAGATGCATGTGTTGAAAATGAAATGTTGCAGTATCAGTAAACCAGAAACTGACCACAAAATCCACTAAATCCAAAAAATAGAACCACCACAAAACAGACATTAACACATTGCTATAAGAGCCTAGGCGAGAGATTAGATTTACCTCGCATGGAATCAGCGAGAATCAGACAAGAGCACCCTTGGTCTTAGAATCAACAGCATCATTGGTCTTCTGTTTGGGTTCTTCACTAGAATCAACCATGTGTTTTCTGTCAGATGACTTGCGCTTAGAATAGGTAACCAGTTTGATTACTCTCACTGGCTTATCTGCACACTCTCCACTATTTGAAAGCTTTTCATGAGCCGCCACCACTGGCTCAGACCCACCTGGCTTGCTGGTTAGACATTTGGATAAACCGGTACAGTCTGCGTTGATCCCACCATTTACAGTCCCCGGATCAGTATCAGCACAATCGGTGGCTATGTCTTCCATATTAAAATCAACCATATCTTCACTGGGCACTGAATAATTGAGTTTGCTGGTTGAAAGTTCTGATTTCTCAGCACCATCGGTGGCTATGTCTCTGTTTCTGTCAATCGTACATTCTGTGATTTCAGTTACTGCACTCTCCGGTTTCTCATCATATGTGATTTCTAATTCCACTTTTGCATCACCAGTGGTGTTGCAGTCATCTACTCTTGGTTCTTCACTTACATTACGTGACACCTCAAGAGAGTCGCTCTTTCTTCCCTTTTCTGCTTTCTCTTCCGAAATCTTAGTAGAGTTAGAGGCTTCTGCATCATTTTCTTCTGCAGTTCTGGATTCAGATTCGCCAGCAATTTCATCAACTGCCATTGGTTCACTGTCTCCGGCTTTCTCTGTCACATGCAGATCGCTAGCTCGTGGCGGTTCCAGATCAATAGCTTTAGAGGGTCCCGATTCTAGTTTTTCAGCCATATCCGAAAAATCTTTACTAGTCTCTGCAGTTTCGGAATGGTCAGCTTCTTTGGAACCATTTCCAGTCTTCTCTGAAGAATCAACCATATCTTTATCAGCTGATGCTAGAGTTTCAAAAGCTGTAACTTCGTCAGTTCTAGACTCTGAGCACTTGGAATCAAGGTCATCTTTTTCATCAACCTCCATCAATTCAGAGAGATCCATGGACTTATGTTCTACATTCTCAGAAGATATTAAACTATCTTTGTCATCAGGCGCTAAGGATGGTGAATCAACAGAATTAGTATTACCGTGCACTAAATTTCCAGCTGAATGAATCAGGCCTCTGTAGTCATAGTACGCCTCAGCCTGTGGATGCCAGAACATATCAAGAATAAACTAAGAGAGATCAAAATTGGGAGTCTCGTCATTAACTTTAGAATTACCTTTGGTCTCGTAGATACTGCGTCAAACACATGAATTTCAGGCTCCTCATATTCTGGGATTTGCAAAATGATGTAGGCCCCTTTGTTGTTGTGTCTCTCCTCTGTGTCCTGCATACAAGACAAAAGATACTCAGGTTTGTGTTGAGGCTCAAACATAAGTCACAACATCTACAAGATATAAGAAATTCTACCAGCGAGAGTTAAAAAATAATATGAAGACAGGGAAACCAAAAATTGATAAAACCAACTTTGTTGAATCACAACATCTACAATAATTGAGTTTGCTGGTTGAAGATACCCAATACGAATATATAATAGAGCGTACCTGAAACTGAGGATGATCAGGAGCACTAAACAAAGTTATAAGCCCTTCATGGTCTTTTGCATATCCTTCACTCATTGATGGAAGACCATCTCGTTTTGCCCTTTTGTCAGGAGCTTCCTTCCCTCTAATGATCAACTGCCATAGAAAGAAATGACAATCATGATGCTGACAGAGTAGCAGACACACCTAACTTGGTTTTTATATACAGAAAGATTGAACGTGCTCTGATTCTATCCAATGTATAAACATTTGGTTGACGAAAAAGCACTCAAATCTTCTATCAAATTCTCAATTCTTCTAGGTGCAATCTCAGGTAAATTGATCTAACCTTCAGATCATTTTCTTGCAGGAACTTCGCAGTGCAATCAGGACCCCACAACAAACCAATGCCACTCTCTTTGTTTAGAAAGAGGCCCGTGTCCTTCGATGGATCTGACCAAAGAATGTCACCAGGAATCAGGTTTGAACCTTCAGCAGGAGGATCGATAACACGTCTTTTCACTTTAGTTAAATCCTTCAACGAGCCAAGAAGCAAGGACTCAGATATATTCTCAGTCTCAAGAACAGTAGCATCCGCATGCTTTTTCTGAGTTCGCTTACGTTTTCTGCTTCGTTCTTGTTTCTCTGAGAGAAACCTTGAGACATCACGAAAAAGACCTCCATGAGCTGTAAAGATCTTCCCACCAATCACAGAAGCCAAAGGGAGTAACTGGAAGCATTCCAAGCACTTTTTGTAGACAACTGCTCCTTTATCTCCATACTTGGTTAATACTTCATTTTTAAATCCATACAGTGATGTACAACTCTCGCTCTCGTGACTACCACGTAGAAGATACACTCTATCAGGTAGAAACACCTAGCAAAAACAAATGAAGTGCCTAATATTAAAATGTGTTACGGATGAAATTAGAAGAAAATGCTGCCTCTTTGGGATGATAACCTTACCTTCCATGATAAAAGAAGTAAGAATGTTTCTAAACCCCATGCTCCGTTGTCTACATAGTTCCCATTGAACACATAGAACTGATCACCATCTGGGAATCCTGCATCCTGCATAAGGAACATCAAATCATGTAGCTGCCCATGTAGATCTCCGACCACAACGACTTTTGCTTTGTCACTATCTATCCTAACGCAGTTTGGCTCCTTTTTCAGGATTTTGGAAACAGAGGTAACAAGCTCATCCAAGACGTTAAAAGGCAGAACACTCGAGAATTCAATAGGTGGGAGGTTCCTCGAAGACCAATCAAAGCTCAACATGACTTCACAAATCCAACTGAAAGTTAGCTTCCCTCCTGAAGGCCAGAAAAGAGGTTTTTGTGAAACTGAAGGTAAAGACTGCTCACATCCTATATCCTGAACAGGTGCAATCCCTTCCAAAGGTTCTGCCGAGAGACCATCATCTATTCCCATTTCATTCAAAGGCTTTTGCGATATTATTGTAGGTAAAGGTTGAGGTAACATGATAAATGGTCCTGGAGTTGGAGCTTGGGCAACAGAGCCTATAACAAATGAATTATCAAAGTTAAAAAGATAAGTTTCCACAAATTTTGGTAAGTACACGAGCATGTAAACTGATCTGCAGATGTGATTAACTTGAATTTTCATATCTTTAAGGCACGATTCGAATTAAGGAATATCTCATCTACTATTATCAATTTCTTTTTTCTCTCGGTTACAATCTAATCACCTAATCGCTAAAATTGTCAAGTAGAAATAACTGAGAAAAGGACTTGTAGCCTAAATACTATTGTAGTAGTTCTATGGAAACCATACCATTAGATAATGAGCCTAAAGGTGCGTTGAGTTGAAGGGCGCCTGCACACATATCAACGATATCTTGTAATGTTTGCCTCGCGGTGTCAACAGTAAGTTCCTCTTCAAGCGAAGCCTTAGATCGAGCATGAATGGCTGCAACTCTCTGGACCTGCAATTTTATAATGTTTCATGAGATTTTTGAGCAAGCAGAGAAACAATATAATTTATGATGTTGATCAATAGTAACTCACAAGCACTTGGAAAGCAAAACCGGTGGGTAGAAACTGCCCAGGGCGTCTCTCGTTCATAGGACTGATAATTCTTCTAGTGATTCTGCGGTACCACTCCATATAAGGATCATTATAGTCCATCGGGCTACACTCTGGCTCACCGAAAACAACAGATGACCCACGTGCCTCCCACAGTTCGATATGTCGACTGTGACGTGCTGACCAGTCATACTCTGATTTGCCTCTTTTGTCAATAGCATGAAGAGCCTTTTCATTATCACAAGGTGCTGGAATTGCTTGGTGGAGACCAAACTGCCTAAGCACACGATCAGGACGATGCCACTCAACAACATCGAAACAAATCAAAGGTGCCACTGTTCGCCATATGTTCTGACCACTAAGACATATAAGAGGAAGCTTTGCTAGAAGATCCGGAGTGTAAGGCTGCCATATCACCTACATCCACGTTGTAAAAGAAAATCCCAAGGTCGTTTACATCAACCACCGTTTCAGAGATCTTTTGATAAAGTAAAAGATCAGTTTAATACCTGCTCATCTTTCTGCTGATCAAATTGGTCTCTGTAGAAATCCAGTCCTCCACGAGGATTCTCTTTATGACTCAAAGAAGCCCTCCACCTAGCTTTCCAAGCAGTTTCATAAGCGAGACAAATCAAAATGAAAACTTGCCAGAACAAACTGAACACAATATGATAAAATCTTTAATTACCTACAGCCTAATGGATCTGGTAAAGCACCATCTATGCCATCCATATACGAAGCACCAACATCTTTAAGTCTTCCTGGACGACCAACATGCAGTCGTTCCCATGCCCATAGCTGCAACAGAACAAGAGGGCCACAAATGGTAGAAACAGTCCTCTTACTCGCCCGGCACAGCTCTCTGTAGAGAAGTGCTAAAGTAGCACTGCCCCAACTAAGCTGAGCCACTTCACCAAAGTCCCTAAGCAGAGGGAGAAACGTTAAAGCCACATCGTGTTTGGACTTATCCCCGTAAAGAAAACCACTCATCAAGGCTAATACAAAAGCCCTAGTGTGACACATCAGCGTAACTTCGTCAGGGTCAGCAGGTAGATTCCTGAAATTGTCACGCAGCCATGCCAAGGAAACATGAGAACCATGTAGATCCTTGGGACCTGGTCTGAGTCCAAGCAGGTCCTCACACAGATCAGCCCAGTTGTATTTTGTACTACCGGTTACGGGAGGTCCGTCCACACGGAGACCCAACAATACATTCACATCTTGTAAAGTCACTGTGATCTCTCCAGCAGGAAGATGAAAAGTATGCGTTTCAGGTCTCCACCTCTCTACAAGAGCTGTTATCAGAGCATAGTCAAGCTGTATAAACGCAACCTTGTACACTCCATAAAGACCAAACTCGATCAACTTTTGACACACAAGAGGGTCCAGAGGCCAATCTCGCATGCCCAATAACTTGTGCCGGCATGTCAATTCACGAGGAGGAACCTGAAAGTGAAGATCCAAGATTTTTATAAACGACACCAGAAGCAAAGCAAGATCAAAAAAGATAATGATTAACTAAATACACACCTCATCTTCCCATATGGCAGCTGATCTATGCTCATGTTGCCATACCAATATAGATTGATCAACAGGACCGGGATCCAAATCAAAGTTTAGCTGGCTTTGCAGCTCCATCTACATGATATATCACAGGACATTAGTACAATCATCAATATACAAAGAAATTCTCTGACTTTTCTAGCATTTTGACAAATTCGAAGAAATGAAAACTCAGCTACTTGATATTTCCAGGAAAAGCTAATCTTTCTGTCACCAAACGGTCAAAAATGTACAATCCCGATCAATTTTAGCAGCTAAATCCTTAAAAAATCCCAAGAGGTTCCCACTAATTCATTAAAGATCAAAAAGAAAACTTCTAATTCTGGACAAACCCTAAACCGGGACGAAGCAACATGAAAGACAACTCCCAGGAAAAATCAAGCTAATTACTCATATACACAGATACAAAGAACTGAAACAAGCGAGATAAACCAATTCAAAAACACATCTTTTTCCGAATTTTGACGAACGGAACGATTAACGAAACTGTGGGTGATTAGAATTCGAAGGCCATACCAAAGAGAAGCTTCCGTGATCAACAAAAAGCAGCAACGGGAAACCCAAAAAAAAAAAAGTTTGAAAAATCCAGAAGAAAGAAGAAATAAGCAGAGAAGCGTTAAGCGGGAGAGAGAAGAAACAAGAGAAAGAGAGAGCTTCCAGATCCGACAGAAGTTTTCGGCTACTTCGAAGAAACGCTTAAGCACTTCTAATCCTTCTAGGTCGCTCCAAGGATCTAATCTTTTCCTACTACGACGCCGTTTTCTCAAAACTTTTCGTAGGCTCGTATCGGCCCAAATGTGTGAAACTAAACACGACAGCGTTTTTACGTGTAAAATCGACATTTTGTCTATTATACGAGTCAAAAAAGTTACAAATATTCGAGTCTCAAGAAATCGTCGTTGCATAACTTTTGAAGTTTTCTCGAAACAAAAGATAGTTGTTTTTATTTGAAAGATCATACAAGACACGTGTCGTGAACCCAAATCGTAAGAACGCCACGCGATACTCTTTGCATGCGCCTCGTTTGAACATCAAGATTCTCTCCTCTTTCTCTGACTTCAATCACTGAATCTATAAGTTTGTGATCTCTCTATTTAACCGATCATCAACTCAGTTTCCTCTACTACCAATATCCATACACATCAATACAACAAGATTCACATATCAAGAAAAATGCCAGGGATCACACTAGGAGACACGGTGCCGAATCTTGAGGTCGAGACAACACTTGACAACTTCAAGCTTCATGACTACTTCGCCAATTCTTGGACCGTCCTCTTCTCTCATCCCGGTATATATTATGAACGTTACTTGTATCCTGATGATTAATCCGGTTAAGTCCTGTCTTTCATATATATTAAACCGAAATCAACATCATGTACCAAACATTTGGCTATGTTTATCTATTATACTTTTGTTACAATTCCAATATATTCTCTTTGATTCACCATATTGAATTTGACGGTTACGATCAGGGGATTTCACACCCGTATGCACGACGGAGCTAGGTGCGATGGGCAAATACGCTCATGAGTTCGAGCAGAGAGGTGTGAAGCTCCTTGGTTTGTCTTGTGACGACATACAGTCACACAAAGACTGGACCAAAGACATCGAAGCCTTTACGGTAGAATTAATTAAATATCATGCATACGTACAATACAGAAATTGATTAACTCTAGCTAGAGATCATATATTCGTTTTGATTGATAACAGTTCTTGTTTTTCTATGACATATATAATTAATATAGCCTGGGAGCAAGGTGAAGTACCCGATAATTGCTGACCCGAACAAAGAGATCATTCCTCAGCTTAACATGGTTGATCCACTTGAGAACGGTCCCTCTCGTGCTCTTCATATCGTTGGTCCCGATAGTAAGGTACTTAATCATTTATACTTATTTCATTAACACTCATTTCTTTGAACTATTGCATGTAAATATGATTTATTGGTCGGTTGTTGAATTTTTTAATAATAGATAAAGTTGAGTTTCTTGTATCCCTCGACCACGGGACGTAACATGGACGAAGTGTTGAGGGCTTTAGACTCGTTGTTATTGGCGTCCAAGCACAAGAACAAGATCGCCACTCCGGTTAATTGGAGACGGGACGAACCGGTTGTGATTTCTCCTGCAGTGTCGGACGAAGAGGCTAAGAAGATCTTTCCTCAGGGTTTCAAGACCGCCGATCTCCCGTCCAAGAAAGGCTATATGCGTCTCGCTGATATCAAGTGAAAGACAAAAAAGAAATAAAAATGATGTTATATGAGTATTGTATAATAACGTTTATAACGTGTTGAATCACGTTTTTATAATGTATGGTGTGTTGTACTCACGAGGGTGTGGCCTTATATTAATAAGAATACCGTATGCTTCGTAATGCGGTCTACTACGACATTTTACCAAACGAATCGGGATGGAATCGAGCGTTAATTTTCTAAAAACTAAGTCCATTTTTCTGAAAGAAAAAAAAAGTTAATCGTATAGGTATGAATCGAATGTAAATGTATCTTTATATCCAAAAAAGAAACCTAACTGGATGAGACGAAAAATGCTACTTCAGTCTAATCAAAATATTCACCACCTTTCACATATAGTGTGAAGACCGAAAATGCAATTTCTAGAAGGAGCGGCAACTCTTGGATATTATAGTATCATGGAAGAACATGAACACTTCTATTTAAAGGATCTGTCGAGAAGATCAAAGAAGAAATGGCTCAACGGTTTCAATGACAACTGTGTGGGAATTCGAAGAGATATAATGAAAACATCAGAGACATTAGTAGAGGAAAGGAGCAACTAAAAGGGAAACTATTGGGAGGAATGGCAAGGATTTTAAAGGATTCAGAGGGAATAGTTAAGATGCAAAGTAGAAGAGACTTCTCCAACATCAATACGATAGAGGAAGCTTGTGGAATTGGTGGGAGTGATCAACAAGCCGTCTTTTCAGTATCAAACCAGTAACAGGACTAAACAATGGTATAAGCTGATAGAAGTGATGAGAGGATATGATGGAAGAATTATATATACTCTCATAAATATGAATATACAAAATAGAAACAATTATATAGTGATAGAGTTTACTTAATTACCTATCTAATACAAATCTCTATAATTATTTTTATTGATAACATGGATCTTTTAGATCCTTTTACACGCCCCTCAAGCTTAAGCCGGTGATGGAGAAAAGCAGAGTTAGCGGCTTAAGATTGACAATGAAATCCTACTGTGATAATGAGGTAGAAGAGTAGACGATAAGTTGCAGCGAAGAGATCTTGTATTGGTGACATCGTGATGAGGAGACAAATTAATTTTTGTTTTTGTTTTTCTTGATTTTTTTCCTTTTTTTAGGATTTCTAAAACTTTAAAAACAGAAGCAACATAATTTGAAAAAAAAAAAAAAAAATTATATGGCTTGTGAAAGTACTGTTGTCTTGAAAAAACACAATAACTCGATACACTTATAAACATTTTTTTTTTTGGGCTTTCTGTAAATAAACCCTTCAAGTAATTTTTTTTTTTGCAAATTTACTTTCAATTATCTAAAAATACAGATTAAACCATAACCTTCAAATCAACCCGCAATATAACCTTTTAGAAAAACAGATGTTATATCGGTGACGGAAACCAAAACTCACCGTTTTCTATTTTCAAACTACATGCTGTTTTTCTTTTGTTTGAAAAATTAAAATAAAAAATAGAAACTTGACAAAAAAAAAAACAGAAAAAAACAATCGTCTTCTTCATCTACCTTTCTTCTCTGTTTTCTTATTTTCTTTCTATCCCTATGCAATTTAATTTAGTTTAAATAAAACAACAACAAAATAAGAGAATTAAACTCCAAATCAAATCAGAATTTAGAGTTTATAAAAAAAATTAAGATTTAGGGTTCATATAGAAGATTGGGACTTAGAGTTTGATTGATTCCATTTAATCGATCTTCATCTCCAATTTTGTGACAGTTAATTTATTCTTCGATTTGTATGGTTTTTTAGATTCAATTGATCCCACTTAATCACCATTAATATTTAATTTATTACTTCTGTGCTAATCATCAAAACTGGATAATAAATCCATGAACCTTCTCCTAATAAAAAAAAAAGATCCACGAAGCTTCTCTAATTCGAGGGTGAAAACCAAATCCAATCAAATTTGTTTACTTGATATAAATTTATAATAGTAAATTGATGACGGTCTTTTTTTCTCTCCCAGGCACGTTGCCAAGAAGATTTCCAACCACCTGGTTTAATCCAAAATTTAAAATCTAATACCGAGATTTTCCTAAAATAGAAAAGATTCCTGAAAAAAACCTCTCTTGGGAGTCACAACACCGGGTTCCGCCCCCAACTATAGTCAGCGGGTCCGTCATTTCCTAACGTCAAACCACCCTGCACCTCCCCGTCAAGTAGTCCATGACTGGTATGACCTTTAGCCCCAAGATAACTCATTCTCTGAACCAGTAGGTGGTTTTACGTTTTCCCTGTTTTACAGTGAAATCTCTCGGTGGCTCTGAAATCACCTGAAGTTCAAAATCACACTCCGGTGTTGAAATATACTACTATCTTTCGGAGATCTATCTCCTGTAAAACTCTCACCCTAGGGTGTTGAAAAATTTAGCTTCAGAAGCAAGTAACTAGCTGGTACCTCAAGAGGAAGATACATGGCTAGGCGACTAACGTATGCAGAGAAAGGGAAAGGTTTAGCCCTCCCCAAGGAGCCTCCTCGAACCGACGGGTGGAAATTTCGGACTTCGACAACTCTAAGCTAATAAAACAACGTGCTCTGACCTTGATAGGAAGAGTAACAAATCCAAAGATCCAGAGGATGTGGTCCCTTTTACCTTTCTTTACGGAACATTGGAAGACAAGCTCACCCTCCATCGGAGCAGATCTCGGACAGGGCCTGTTCCAATACCAATTTGGATCTCAGGAAGACATGCACAAAGTGTTGGAGAACAGACCTTACCACTTTGCCCGCTGGATGCTCATCCTCCAGAAGTGGGAACCCTCGGTCTCCCCTGACTTTCCAGCACTGATTCCATTCTGGATTAGAGTGCAAGGAGTTCCAGTGCATCTCTGGAATGAGGTTACCCTCAGAAGCATAGGAGAAGATTTAGGCATCTTCGAAAATTGGGAAATCACGTCATCTTACGCAAGAATGCGGGTCCACATCAATGGCTTTCTTCCCCTAATCGAAACTTACACCCTGGTGTCCTCCAGTGGCTTTGAAGTAGTTGCCACCTTGGTTTACGAAAATTGGAAAAACACTGCTCCATATGCCTACTACTAAGTCACGAAAACAGTGAATGCCCAGAGTTGAAACCTTCAAAGCAGGGAACAAAAGAACCAACCCGTTTCCCCCAGAAGAGTGAATTGCTGCACCAAAACAGAACTAAGGAGGATCTAAGGCACTCCCTCGAGAGTCAGAGGGGAAGATACCCGATCAGAAGAGAACTCAGAACAGACAGTTTTTTGGCCCCAAGAGAAAGAGCTCCATCGCACAACTCGGCCAACCTGCAAAGAGGAAAAGATTATGGGGAGGCAAGGTACTCGGTAGCTAATCGAGATATGAGTAAAGGATCGGCATACCGCTCGGAGTATAGAGCTGGAATGTCCAATTGCTACTCGCCATACAAGCAAACATCAGCCCGATGGGTGGAAACAGGACGTCAGATCGCTACTTCAGTGCTCTCGGGGGATACGGTGGGAAATAGACAAAACTCTTTGGGGAAAGAAACTAACAGAGAGGGGGAAAGCGGATCCACCGTAGGAGCTCCAAGGCAGAGAGCGCAATCAGATTCTTCTCAGTCTAAACGCATATCAAATCCTTTAACTGAACCATCAATGCATCGAAGTTCGGACTTACATGAGGAAGCGATGGTAGAGGCTCGTGAGGAACTAAGGGAAGTTATGATCCGATATGCGAACTGCGTAGACCCAACTGAGAGCGCGGCAAGAAAGGAAAGATTACGTTTAGCGGAAGAGAATGGAGAAGTGGAGGCGACAGCGGCTCAAATGGTACGAAACTCAACCCGAATCCACTCCTATCAAGAAGAGGAGTGTGTGGAGACCGTAGTACCAGAAAGAATTTCAGCGATGCAACGACTTGGAACAAACCAACTGCTGGATATCCCGATAACTGAAGAACAAGGGAGGCTTCCTGCAAAAGTGCGGTTAAGTCGAACTTCAAATTAGAAGAAAGCAGCGGTTATTTTAGGTCCACTGGTTGGGTCAAGTTCAAGGAAAAAGAAAGTTGCACAAGTTAAGAGCTCACCAAAAAGACGCTTAGCAAGTGGGAAGGCAACAGAAACCGGAACCAGAACCAGAGCTCCTTCTTCCAGGAACCGAGCTAAAACAGACGCTAGAGGACAGACCTCCGGGGACCCTCCGAGTTTCAATTTTATTCCCGCCTCCTCTAAGAGAATGCGGGATTTTCAAAATCCTCCTTCCCGGCTCCCTTAAGAATAGTGAGTTGGAACTGTCAAGGATTGGGGAATCCCTTGACAGTTCGTCGCCTACAGGAAATAAAAAAAACACATGATTTCCCGAAAATTATGTTCCTCATGGAGACGAAAAATCAAGATACCTTCGTTCTCAAAGAACTTCAACATCTAAATTATGATCATACCTTTCTGGTCCCACTTTACGCACAAGGGGGAGGAGGATTAGCTTTGCTTTGGAAGAATGATATCGACGTTAAAATCCTCCTTCATTGTGATAATTTTATTGATACGGAAGTGAATTTCAAAAAGGAAACCTTCAAGGCTACCTTTGTCTACGGAGAACCGGATAGATCTAGAAGGGCAAACGTCTGGAATGCAATTAAAGCGTGTGTACAAGACCATGACTTCCCATGGTTCCTTACGGGAGATTTCAACGACAATCTGGACAACTCAGAAAAGTCTGGTGGACCGGCTAGACCAGAGGGCTCCTTTGTGGATTTCCGATCATTCATGTCGGAGTGAGACTTATACGACATCAGACACGCTGAGAATTTCTTATCCTGGAGAGGCAATAGACATAAGCATCTGGTGAGATGCCGTTTGGATAGGGTGATGGCCAATAGTGCTTGGATAGAAAATTACCCATCAGAAAGATGCGAATACCTGAGATTTGAGGGTTCATACCACAGACCACTGATATCATCTTTTCACCCAGCAAGACGCAGACCAATAGGCTTGTTCTGATATGATCGGAGATTAAGGAACAATGAAGAAGTAAAAAACCTAGTCGCAGAGGCTTGGAAGAAATTCCCTTCTGCTACGGTTGACCAGCGAATATCCAGCTGCAGGAAAGCTATCATCCAATGGCACAGGAAGCACCACCAGAATAGCCAAAAGCGGATAAAAGAGAAAAGAATGGAGTTAGAGGAGGCAATGAGCAACAATACTACAGAGGAGAGTAAAATTCATCAGATAAATAAAGAGCTGAAAGAGGCTTACAAAGCTGA